AATGATTCTTTTGAACTGGTCGATCATTTAGGTGATATTAATATCAAGGAAAAGACAATGTGTTCATTTGATGTGAATTCCTTGTTTACAAATGTACCTTTGAAAAAAACCATTGATATTTTATGTGATTACATAACTGTAAACAATCTTCAATCACCTGTCCCTGTAAAAACTCTTAAAGATTTACCATTATTATGTACTGACAAAGTTCAGTTCACTTTTGAAGGTGAATACTTTCGTCAGATTGATGGAGTTGTTATGGGTAGTCCGCTAGGACCATTATTAGCAGGTGTGTTCATGACACATGTTGAAAATCAGACTGATGACCTAATTGAAAACATGTCACTTTATAAGAGATATGTGGACGATATCTGAGTTGTTTGTGAGAGAAAAGAGGATATGTACTGTTTACTAAATAAACTTAACACTCTTCCAAACCATATTAGTCTCTCATGTGAAGAGGAGAAGAACGATCAGTTTCCCTTCCTAGATATACTTCTGAGTAGACGAGAAGATGGCTCAGTCAAGCGATCTATTTTTAGAAAACCAACGTGGACAGGTCATTATCTTAGTTATTATAGTTATTGCCCTGTACAATACAAACGTGGTTTGATAAGGTGTCTTTTCAACAGACTCGATCGTATTTGTACAAATGACGCCATTGATGATAATGTTAGGTTGCTAAATAAAAGATTAATGGAAAATGGCTATCCCCTTAAATTCATGAATAGATGGAAAGATCATGGCAGAGAAGAAACCTGTCTACATCACCTTACCATTTATAGGTGATTCAAATAGTCTTTTATTGAATTAAAGGTTTAAATCAGTCATCAACAAAACGTATTGCGCAGCAAAAGTCTTCATCAAAGAAATAACAAGGTGCATGCTTCATCCAAAAGACATGAAAACGATTGTGTCACATCTCACTGTGTTTACCAATTTAAATGTGTGTGTGGTCACACATACATAGGGAGGAGTAATCGTGATCTCAACATTAGGGTGAGTGAACATGTACTCAAACGGCTGCAGAAACAAATACAATCAGGTGACCCAATAAGAGCAGAGGATAAACATCCATCATCCTCTATTGCTATACATATAATTGAAACAGTCCATAAGATTGATGTTAACTCGGCTTTTGTGGTTTTGTATAAAGGTGTAAAAAGGCGTATACTAAGATTTATTGAATCCTTAACCATACGAAAATTCAAATCCCCTTTGTGTATTCAAAAACAGTTTGTTCTCACCTTAAACCTACCGTGGGAATATTGACTTATTATCCAGAGTGATGAGGTTACGAATTGTGTTCACATTATTATTATTATTACTCTTATCATGATCCTTATCTCCTCTTACCCAGTTTCCAGTCTAGTTGACCTTTTATTTTTAACTATGAATGTTTCGTAACAAGTATATTAGGTGTGATCAGATTGTTCGAAATGTATTACGCTAATCTATCATCACATAGTTCTGATCATCTTCGTCTTCTATTTACATTATCGAAATTGATAAAGTATGATTCAAATAACATTCTAATATATTTAATATACAATACAATGGTTTGTATACAATCATTTGTTAAGCATCTAGATCAGGGTAGATAATGAACATGTATTCACACATTTAAAATGGATTTGTAATTAGTGATATAAACATCTAGCTTTAAGTAAATATTATGTAACTCGTGAATGTAAACATCCAAGAGGTTTCATGAGAATACGTGATGGTCTAATCATATAACTACATATATAATTCACTACAATAATGTCAGCTAGTTTAATTACAGGGAAATTATTTTCAAAGTTAGCAATAATATCAGAAGGGGTTTTGTGGAGGTTACTATAATCTCCATAAAACCCCTTCTGATACTACTCAACATATGCTCACTAGTGACTGGCTTCTAAATGTATATCCTGGAGTTCTGGTGAGAAGCAGTGACCAGTGGAGTTCAACCGAGTCTATTGTGAGATAGTAATTCACTGAAGAGAATGGTGGATGTGTCAGTGGTCTAGTGGTTAAGCCCTCGCGCACGAGGCTCATAGATCTTGGGTTTCAATCCCGCAAGGCGGGATCGTGGATGTGCACTGCTAAGGAGTCGTAAAATGGGACGAAATGGTTGTCGAGTGCTTCCAGATCTTCCATAGTGCTCTAGTTTCAATTGACTCATGATGTTAACTTTGAGTTTATCATCTGAAGAATGAAGAAATCAATACTTATATAATATTACACAAAGTGTATTCATTTGTGTTGCAAAACTATAGAACAATTTAAGAAGAGATAATGATATCGAACAAAAATAAAGATATGAAATAATAATAATAGATGTAATGTACTAAGGATTTTCAAATAACCGGATGTGAATAATTCGGCGAGATTATAATTTATGAATGAATCAATCAAGTATAAGATAACAGATCTCAGATTTTCGCGCGAACTTCATTCATTCATTTGGCTGAATAGAGTTTTCGCATTATAGCTGATGTCAGTTCATGATGAAAACTCTCAATGTAATTCTTAATCCTGACCATCAACTGTAAATCTGTTATATCTTGAAAAGCTGATTTTCTCGATATACCGCGTATAACAGAGCACTAGAACACCAAAACCCTTCCAAGTCGCAATAAGAAGACAAAAGACTAACGAAAGGAATATTATTCCAAACAGTGTCAGTCATAGTACAAAATTGTCAGGTATTTATAGTTTTTAGTGAGAACGAAATCATCATTACAGTCTTCCAATCCGCATACAGGGGGTTATTAGCATTATCCAATCGGGAAGCTACACGTTGGAATTCTAGAACATTCTTCCGAAAGGTGATTGGATGGGACGTCTTCGATTCCTTCTGAGCCTCTTACAGCTTCCTCGAGTTCACCGGTGGTCCGTCGTCACAAAATCATAATTTTAATTCCTCACAGACTGGTTTATAATCCTCATTTGGTCCTAGTTGATAGGTGAACATTCTGAAGATCACTTTAACGTCGCTCAAAGGTCATTCATAAATTATAGTCTCACGGAAGTACTTATTCAGCACTTAAATTTCCAAGATCATACTTATTCATAATCAAAGAAATACTAACTCTGAATAACACACAGTTGTATTTGAAGAATAAAGCTTCATATATTCATTATTATTATTATTCATTTCATTGTGTTATATATACATAAAGGATCAAATTTAATTTTATATCATCAAACAAAACATTTTTTAAGATTGTTTTTGATTAAGATCTATTCTCTACTAGTCATTAATTAACCATAAATAATATACATATAAGCACATGTTCACAATGAATTGATCACTGGGTGGTGATCAAATATCATGTATGTCAAGTCGTTCTTAATATAGATCGAATCCTATCGACCAAATTGTAATGTAGCCAGTAGTCTAGGTGACTAGACATTGCGTGCACTATGTTGAGATAAGATGGTAGTTGGAGGTCAGTCAGCTACAATGTAGAACCTGGCACATATATGCATTAGTCCAAGTAGCCATAGCTCATTAGCACAGCAAGATAAACATTGGATTCATAGAAGTAGTTAATTCCCTGGTGGTGATATATGAAAAAAAGTTTGCATACAAGGATATAGTACATGAAGAAATAATTAGTTGATAGAAAGAAAGATATGAAGTGATTTTAACCTCATAGTTTAAAGGAAGACAGAAACTATATACACCTACGCCATTGTAATCGATTCTGAGCCATGTCACCCAGAGTCTCCAACCATTGGTTGGAGGCAGTCAACAGGAAACCCTGAACCTATTTGGTACTCGTCAGCAAAATGTACCTGTATTATTCTTTAAAGAACTGATACTCCTTGACAAATTCGATCCCGTGTTACTCAGCTTCACATCAACACTGAGCTATCCGGTCGACGACTGACCTCCCGTAGAACTACTGGGATGTATTTACAATGAATTGATCACTAGCTAATAAACAATATCATCTATATCAGATCCATCTATGTCCTAATTTCAGTGTAAAATCTAACATAACTGTTTAATTCATTCAAAAAATTGACGTTAATTAAACTTGAAAGCATCTTTAATGTAAACTTAAACATTAAAAAAACTACTACTACTACTACTTGGTCCTGAAGTGCACTTATAAAGATGATTAACTTACTAAAGATGAATACAGATTGGAAAGACTATAAACCTTTAATATTTAACAAAATTATCATTTTTATGTACTATCGATTTTATATAATAATCAATGAATTAGACTGAACTATTTTAATAAACAACTCCATCAGTAGCTCTTCTAGAGTTACTGCCGGCTCCAAGCCCGGGTAAAAAAGGGTAGGCTGGTAACCACATCCTGTAGAGAAAAAACTTGCTAAAAAAAGGTCAATCAGATTAAACAAATTAAAGGCATCATCGATGAACAAGGATTAAATGCAGACGTAAAGGCAAGGATTAGTAAAATAATGTCTGTATTCCTACAAGTGAAGAATATTTGGAACTCAAAATAACTGTCAAACTAGATCAATGTCAATATCTTCAATATAAATGTCAAGACAGTTAGTTATATTGTAAGGAACTGAAACTTCGAGAACTACAACAACCATAATCAAAAAGATATAAGTATTTATAAACAATTGTCTATATGAGATACCCAATGTCGGTTGTTGGTCAGATATCATCAACAATAACCTACTATGAGAGAGAACAATCTAACTTCTAACTGATGAGGTACTTAGGAAAAGGCGTTGAAAGTGGATAAGATATACATTATGTAAATCATCAAACTACATCATGAGACAAGCCTTAAGAGAAACAGAAAACAGGAAAGCTAAACAACACATTACACCAAGAAATACAAACAGATATCAAAAAAAAAGATGAATAACAACTAGAAAAAGATTACTCAGGATAAGATTAGATCGAGAATACCTTTGAACAGCCTATGTATGCTCTTCCACGAAGACTCACAAACATAAATAAGTATTTTAATAAACAAAACCAAAACCAAAAAAAAAATAATAAATATACTCCTTACCGAAATATCTTTCTCTTTTTTTTTCTTTTCTCTCTTTTGATCAATATCCAATTGTTGAAATCAATAATATAAATCCTTTCCCTTTATATGATAAGTTTGTTTTAATTTATTAAAATAATTTAATTTTACTTGTCTTTTTTTTAATTATTATTCAATGATTGATGTATTTAAACAACAACAAAAAATAGTTTTTTTTTCTATTTATTTCATTTGTATCTATGGTGAGAGAGTGAGAGTGAGAGGGGGGAGAGAGAGGGAGTGAGACATATCAATTAGTAACATACATCTATTTATTATAAATTATATATTCAATATATATTGATAATTGAATAGATTGAACAGATTCATACTGGATTGATTCAGTGTTTTATATATATATATATATGTGTGTTTTAATAAATGAAATCATGTACTGATAATTAATCATAGTTCATTATAATTAATTAATCGATTCATAAATCAATCAATCAATCGATCGATCGATCGATCGATCAATAAATAGTGACGATTATGAAATCTACTCAAAATAATAATTGATTCATTAGTAAATTTAAAAATGAGATCATTTGTAATCAGTAATTGAAACGAATCATAAACATAATGATGATCAATGATGATGTTGATGATGATGATGATCAAATGAATTGATTATTAAATTACAAATTGTGGAAAGATTTGATTGGTTAATTATAATTAACCAATCAAATGAAAGTACATAATATTATAAATTGATTTATTATCAGAATGGGTTTTGTGGAGATTTCAAAAAATTTCATTGGTTAAGATCATGAATCAGTTGGAGCTAGACAACTATAAAAAAATCTGAAAGCACTGGACGGTCTAGTCGGTTAAGCGCCTGGCGCGAGACTGGTAGATCCTGGGTTCGAATCTCACGGGGGGGGGGCGGGTTCGTAGATGCGCACTGCCAGGGAGAAGTCCCATACTAGGAAGAAATGGCCGTTCAGTGCTTTCAGGTTTTCCATGGTGGTCTAGCTTCAATTGACTCATGATTTCAACCAGTGAAATATACTTATTATAAAATTGAAATCAGATCTAATGAAATCAATCATGTGAATAAGTTTCAATATTCTGTTGTGATCTATATAATATAATATTTGTGCTTGATACCTTAATGATTGCGACACAGTATTGAGTTGTACTATTCAGATTTTAGAGTTAAGACTTATGCCGTATCTGGTACTCCTATGAAGTGAGATTGAGCTGTACTATTCATGTTATAAAATTTAAATCTGAGCAGTGTTTAGTTCTCCAGGAAACAGGATTGATCTGTACTGTTTGAGTTGTCACATGAAAGTCTGGTTAATCTCTAGTTCTACTGAAAACCAATGTAAAAATTACCCTGACGCACAAAGGGTATATTGTATGTTATATCTTAGCGAAGATTAAATTACGAGTAACTTCTGAGATCTATTAATGAAGTAATATTATCTGTGTATACTTATGGTATAAATATTCAGTAACTAGGCTGTGTATAACTACATTCCTATTATTATACGTTTCATTTTCATCTACAGATTATTATTATACGAATGTTATTTCCTATTTTATGATGCGTTGCAGTCTACTTAGCTAGTATATAAACCAAGAATATCTGAAATAAATGATTCGCATAGTGGAGGCTGTTATTGGCATTCTGAACTCACCTGGACGGGTTGGGCGAGCAACGGACCAATAAAACGCTAGGCTGGTTAGAGCGGACGAAAATTATTAGTTTAGTCAGTACAACGGCGAATAAGTTGTATTTTGATTGGCGAATAAATTACGTGAGAACTAGTCGGACTTAAAGACACAACACATTATATAAGTGTGATTATTACTTACGCACTTACCGCTGTTGCCCTTCATAGAGAAGCCCAAATCACCCACCAACAGTCTTCAACCAAATTTCTCATAGACAATCCTTCACAGGTGTTTTCAGTTACTATTTATTGTTCTCATGTCCGATTCTAATTCCTGACACAGTGTATTCTTCGACCTTGATCTCCTCCGGTTCTCTTCAGGATTCCAAGTTAGCGCTTGTCTCATGATATAATTTGGTGATCTCCTCAATGTGTGTCCTATCCAACTCGAGAGTCTTTTTCTAATTCCCCCCTCAGTTGGAAGTTGGTTTGTTCTCTCCTACAGTAGGTTATTACTGATAATATCTGACCAACAACCGATATTGAGTATCTCATATAGACAATTGTTTATAAATACTTATATCTTTTTGATGATGGTTGTTGTAGTTCTCGAAGTTTCAGTTCCTTACAATATAACTAACTGTCTTGACATTTATATTGAAGATATTGACATTGATATAGTTTGACAGTTGTTTTGAGTTCCAAATATTCTTCACTTGTAGGAATACAGACATTGTTTTATCAATTCTTGCCTTTACGTCTGCATCGGCGCACTTTATGAAGTATGAGTAAATGTCTTTAGATACTGTAAGTATTTGGTAATAAACACAAATGAAAGATCAACTGATGTTTAGTTAATTAACTTTCAGCTCTATATATCAACCTGACAAATAGATCTTTAGACTTTCAATAATATCAATCTGTTATGAATTAAAATTTGATTACTTTATTATCAAATATGAAACAATAAAGAGGGATCAGTTCGTTTTATGTTACATCATCTGAAACATATTCTCTACATTTTGAATGATATGGGTATTGTGTAACTATGTCTATGATGAATCTACAACATGATAATATCATGACATAATACTGTTATTGTTGACAGACAATGGATTATACCATCTGTACTGTCTTGAAAATAGATGTACGTGGATTTCAAACTGATCAACCTATATGCATATATATTGTAACAGATTATAGTGGTTGTGCTTCGTCGACTAATCACCCTCCTAACCTTTATCATATAATCCTCAACGTTGTTTGAAATCAGAAGGCAAAGAGAAGCAACGACAACAGTTTTATCAGTAGATAACTTAGACCACAAAGCAGAGGGGAAACTGATTGAGTCAGGTGACTGGTGGCCATATTGCAACATGATCGATAGCATTCGATCTGCACTAATAAGGACTACACAAGCATGACATTGATCACCACCCAGTGATCAATCAATTGTGATTACATCTCAGTCCTACAGGAGGTTAGTTACGGCTCGGATAGCTCAGTGGTAACGTCTCTGACTGTGAAGCTGGGTGACACGAGATCGTATCCGCCAGGGAGCACCAGTTCCCTCATGATTACAGGTACACCTTGCTGACGAGTTCCAAGTAGCACGAAACCCGGGTCCAGGGTTTCCTGTTGACTACCTCCAACCACCATCTAAATCTTATACCCAGTATATTAATTACTACCTCCCTCATTCACAGCCACATCTGGCTAATTCTTGTATAAATGTTGTCTCATATTTTATGGTACGTTATGGTCGGGTTGATTGGTATATAAACCCAGAATGTTTGAAATATAATGATTCATATCGCAGACGCTGAGACTTGTGTTCTGGACTAAACTGGCTGGGTCAGGCGGAAAGCAGGGACAATCAGAACTCTAGATTGCTCGCACGTGTTTGACGCGTCATTATTCCGATCGACAAGTCACCGCTCTCTAATCGGCGGTCACATGTTATAACACAACTAAACAGAGCCATAGTAACTAACTGTTCAAATAGTTTCTTAGAAGGGTACTATATGTTTCAAATACAGTTTCACATTATTGTCTTCTTAATTTATAATCATCTATATATAGGTATATTTTGTCACACTAATATAGTCTGGTACAACACGATATCCAACAGAAGAAACTGAGAACTAATTACCATTGTTTAACCTATATTATCGATTATTGTTTATTGATTATTTTGTGCCTATTACTTATCCGGTGTTACAGGTTAGTGATTGTGAATAGGGTAACTAAGGGAATATTTATTAATTCAGATATACATTCATTAATGAATTGTCAAAGATAGAGAAGAATTTGGAGAAAAAAGAAGTAGACAAATCAAATGTATATAAATATATATCATTTTAATGATATTCATTGGATATTGTTCTAGTTGTATCTTCCCATTGTTGTTTAGGACTGAAATTGATCGGTCTCTTGTTGGCATATGTGCATCCTGTGTAAATCACTTTAGTCACAAGTTTAGATGATAGTGATACTCATCATTCAAGGGAAGTCATTAATGATAAGTCTGTATATCAGTATAAGGGTTGTGGAGATTATTAAGTTATCTTTTTGATAGAGATCATGAACAAGTAGGTTAAGCGTTCGCGCACGAGATTAAAGGCTCCGGGTTCGAATCCCATGAGTGCGATCGTGGATGCACACGGTTGAGGAGTTCCACAGTAGGATGAAACGACCGTACAGTGCTTTCAGGTTTCCAATGGCGGTCTAACATCAATTGATTCATCATATCAATCAATAATTCTATATATTTTTCTCCAGAAACACATAGGTCATTTGGTGTTGTTTACTTGTATCTTCCCATTGTTCTTTAAGACTAAAATTGATCAGTCTCTTGTTGGTATATGTGCATTCTGTGCGGACTGTTTCGATATTACCTTACGTCACAAGCATTATAAACAAAGATAGATAGTAGCATAGTGACAGTGGAATCGAGGACGCACACTTCGTCGTTTTTGCGACTCGTTAGCTGGATGTACCTGCATCCCAGAGTTGATGTTCACTCTGGGAATAAGTGAAAATGAAACGCGCTTCCTGGATTCTATTGCTACCCACTATCCATATTTACTTATAATTTTACTTGTTTTAATCAAGTTAATCAGATATTAACTCATCCTATACCTCTTCTAAGGCTATTGTCAGTTCTAAGCCTTGGTAAAAGAGGAGGATTGGGCATGGGGTTAACAAACCAATCCCCTTTTAAGAACAACCTTGCTAAAGAAAAACAAAAACACTAACCAGAATAAACAGATCAGTAATTGTTTACATCTGAGCTTTTTTTTTCTTTTTTCAATGTTCATCTAAATTTATTCCTAAAAAAAAATAATATTTTAATCAATTAAGATCTAATCGATTTCTTATATAAAATACAAAAATTGTGTAGTTTGAATTAATCAATAAAGTGAATCATCATTATCTGAA